AATTTAAAAATATATAAATAAATGTTATAATAATTATAATAAATATAAAAGTTTTTATGATAATTTATTCAGTACATTTCATGATTTTATTTAGTAAATTTTTTTTATAAATTTTTTATGCATTTAAATATTTATAGATTAGAAATACTTATATAAAATAAAAAGCAATAATTTTAAATCATATTATCTTTAAATGAATATCTTATTATATATTTTGATATTGTTTTTTTTAACAATTAATAGATTTAAATTGAAATTTTCAATATATAAATAATTGTCATATATACAGTATAAAATAACAAATCTAAATTTTTTTTTTAAATATTTTAAAAGTTAATATTTTTTCTATATATTCAAAATTTCAATCATACTAGTAAACAAAATAGTTTATTTTTGAAATTTTATTCCAATTAAAATAATAGTTTTTTCAATTGTATATATGTTATAATTTTTATTTTTCTTACAATTTTACATTGCTATTTATTTTAGCTAATATAAGCCAGTTATCAGAATAATTTATTTTTATAATTTTATAAAATTTCACTATTATTTTTATGCTAGAATTTTTATTTTAAAGTGAGAACATTTCATCGATGACAGGTTCGAGATGATCATGATATTCCTCTTTATTTTGACCTTCCTATATTGGATAACTGCCGCACTGGATGTGAAAATAAATGGACAACTCGAATTGGAGAGGAAATACTGGAACACGTATGATCCCACATTAATTGCCGAAGGAATTTATTGTTTGGCGACAATAATGGCTTTCTTGAAATTATTGTATATCTGCCAGCTGGACTACCATCTGGGACCACTTCAACTTTCCCTTGTGAAAATGATCAAGGATGTTCTTAAATTTATTATTCTTTTCACCATAATCATTCTTGCATTTTCTGCAGGTAATATATAAAATTTGTTATATTTCTTCGTTATATTGTTGATACAAATCAGTTTTTTTTATTTATAATTGCAACATGTCCAAATTTTTAATCTTTTAAAATTACTGAGCTATAATTTTTCTTAATTATAAATTATAAATTAATATATAACAATCTATACATAAAATAATTATTATAAATATTTTATATATGATTGTATCCTATAATATCCCACAGTAACTTATATATTATATACGCTTAATATATTCCAGATTGCACTAAAAATTGAATTGATTTTCGATACTTGAAAAAATAATTGAAAAAAGAAGCGAAAAATTCAAAATTTTGTTGTACACATTAACAATATATATTGAACATATACGGAAAAAAAAAATCGAAAAAACTGTATTTTATCTTTTACATTTTCATGAAAAATTCATGATAGAATCATATGTCCGAACAGAATAGAAAATCTTAATAAAATATATATATCGCCTATCTTGAATATGTTAATTTGCAAAATTATTCTTGTCAATTTTTGAATTCTAATTTTCGAAACATATATGCTTCCAAAAATTTAAAATTGGAACATCGAAAAAGCAAATATTAAGTTGCATTGTCATTACATATAAGCATTTGCCAATATTTGATACATCTTCATTTCATTGATAATGAAAATCCAACTCGTCAATACAAAATGTTCAGTGATAATTTCTGCAGCTATTTTTATGATGCAAAAAGAAAAAGAATATTATTATATTAAAAAATAAAGATTTTTGTATTTCAAGTTATGCAATAAAAATATTTTATTGCATTTTAGGATGCAAATGATTTTATTTTATTTATTTTTTGAATCATGTTAACTTAATCTCGATGATTTAATGATAACTTACAATAAAATTTTAGTATTAGCAATCACATATCTCCAATGCATATTTCTAATTTTTTTTTTTTTTCGTCATTACGTTGTAAGGCATTAAAAATAGTTATATAAGCTACGTTTATATTTTACAATATAATACTATGTTAATTGGATAATATAATGTTCATTTTTTGATGTTCGTATGGCTTTTTAATCTAAATATATTGAATCTATATATATATCAATCTAAATATATTGAAAAATTGAAAAAAATATAGAGCAATATAAGCATCGATTTAACGACGAATTTAAATTAATAATTCACATATTAACTGAAATGTTGTTCTATCATTATATAATAATGTTCTATTATTATATAATAATATATAATTATATGAGTATTACTTAAATTCATCGTTTAATAGATATCTGCATTGCAATGTTTTAACACTTGTAAATTATTTAAAATATAGGTTATAGAACAAAATATGAATATCTTTTTCTATTTCAATCATAAGATCAATCATGTTTTTTTTTTTTTTTGTTTTTATGATTCAAGAAAACAAAATCCAGAAAAAAAATTACCAGACGAGACTTTAAATTTTCAATATGAAATATCACATTCTCATTTGAAAGTAATAAAAAGAAAAAAATTAATTAGGAAGCAATCAGGATTATCGGATAAAAATATTCCTATTACTAAAATAGTTCAATTCTCCTGTGAAAAGTAGCGAATTTTGAAGTACATGACACATTATTCCTACTATCGTTGCTGCATTAAACAAAAATGTCTTACGTGACCAGATTTCTGTCTAAGCCAAGCATTTTATCATGTTACGTGACATATCTCTGTCTAATGTAAAAGTAATATAGGATAATGTAATATCACGTATTCTTTTCATGCATGCAAACTTTCGAGAGAGGAATGAAACCACTTTTAATGGTAAAAGAGGTTGCATATTGTCTGACAACTTTGAAAGGGCTAGACATTACACAATTGCTGTAGTATCTATCGAAATGCGTATTTTAAAATATATTTTACAATAATAAATTGTGATTTCAATCATATTAAATGACATGATTTTCATCGTTGTTGTCATGGCATTGAATTTGTTATATACAGTGTCATATTGTCATATAATATCATGAGAACAAAAATCGTATATATTGCATAAAAACCTTAATATGTGCGTTCTAGTATAGCAATCAACCACTTATATTTCCTCAAATAGCTTTATTAGCTTTGGGTAACGTTTTATTAGCCTTTTCTTTATTCGCAAATGAGAATCATATGTCATAACGTCATATATTGAAAATATAGAATCTTTTTTGACAATTCCAATGATAGTTATGTGAATCACTATTTTATGTAAATTTTATTTAATAGAAATTAATTAATATTTAATAGAAATTAATCGTATTTAAATAGAAATAAATTAATTATAAATTAAATTAAAATTAAAATTAAAATTAAATTAAAATCAAAAACTGAATAGAATAAAATAAAGGAGACGAACACATAAAATAAATGTAAAATAAAATTGGGTATTAATGATGAAAAACTAATAAAAATTTCGAATAAGTAATAACTTTATTTAAAATGCTTGAATAACATTTATTCATAGATAGTTATTTATATATATATATATATGTGAATCACTTTTCATTCTTCATTTCATAACTTCAAATATTATTTTATTCCATTATTCGGTTATTCGATGTTTTAATAATAAATTCGAATTAAATTGAAGTAATTTTATTCTTATCGTTAAAATTTCTGACATGAAAAATAAATATTATTTCAGCAAAGAAAAAATATATAACTTATATTTTATAATTAAAAAAGCCATATCTTTGTGAATCTTATTCTCATGAATTTCAAATTCGTAATATTTAAAATTTCTATTTTGCAAACTTTCATAACTTTAATAACTTTAGTCTAACAGCTAAAACAATATATCTTTAGGTACAGTGTTTATCTTTTCGAGGGTTCAATGATAGTAAAGTACGATCGATTGCCAACAACAATGACCATCGACGCCATAATCAAATTTTGATTGAAAAAAAAATTTGTTATTCTTACTTCAAGCTAATCGATTTGTATTCTAAATATAAATATTAATATTAATTCTCTCACAAACAATTACAGTTTTAATAATTGCAAAATCAAAAAATTTCAAGTTTCAAAATTTCAGTTAAATTTGATTTAATTTGTTAGTTTTTTGATGTTAATGTAGTTTTTTAATGTTAATGTTAAATATGAATTTAAATAATAGAAAAAATATAAAATTTAATTATGAAATAATTATCAATCAATAAAATAATGATATAATATTTTGAATCTTTCTTTCTCTAGCAACATGCAGACTTTATCAATATTATGAGGATATGGTACAAATTGATGATGAATCAAAGATTAAGACCCAACAGGTCAACTCGTTCATCAATTTTCCAACCGCCCTGAAGACTTTTTTTTGGGCGCTTTTTTGTATGAGTCCTATCGAAAGCGCTGATGTGATAATTGAGAATCTTCCTGGAGAAACAGAGAACGAGACTATCATCAATCATCATTCTTTCACGGAGCTTATTGGATATATATCCTTCGCCGGTAAAATTCACTTAAATTCCATTTCTCCTAAATATTGGAAAATGCAAAATATTACTTGATTTTAAACTATATTTTATTAAATAAATTATATAATTTTAAAATTAAATATAAATATAATAATAAATATAATAAATATAATAAATATAAATTTAAATATATTGCAATTCCTATATTTATTCAATTTTTATATAAAGAGAAGTAACAAAAATATAAGATAAGTATGCATAAGATTGCAAATTTTTTATTTTTTTATTTTAAAATTATTATTAATCTTCGAAAATACAACATTATCAATCATCATAATCTATATCAATTATTTAATCATTTAATCATTAAATCGTTTATTTTTTATATTTAATTTTAATTATAATAATAAAAATTTCATTCAAATGAAATCAAAAAAAAAAAAGCTAAAACTAAAAAATTATTTTGGAAAAGCAAATACAAAATTTGCAATCTTATGAATAAATATTTTTAATCTTCATTTATTTACTATATTTTTAGATCTAGATAGTATAATAAATATATGAATATAAATTCTAATTCTGTTATGACTGTATAATATTCTTGATAGCATTTTTGATATATGATAATATAATGTGATGGCTTTAAGTAATTTATAAATTACATTTGCTATATGAAAAATGTTTCATATAAGTTGCATAATATTTTTAATTTTTAATATGTTTTACAAATAGAGGAAATATAATATAAAAAAATGAACTTTAAAAAGAATCATATATTTTTTAATACAAATTATTACGAAGTAAAAAAATTTATAATGAAAATTATTAATTTAAATATTCTAATTTTGTATCATCTGAGAGACAAATGTAAGATTATCGTTTCGCTTATAGTTTCATAAAATTCAAATTAAATTCTAAATTTTTATAAGAAATAATAATTTGCAATGATTAGAAATTATACATATTATATACATATTATATATATATTAAAAAAATACATACTTTTCTTTTTTTTATAAAAACAAAATTTCATATTTCCTTATGTATTCACTTGTAAAATAATTAATAATGTTATATTAAATATGTATTATGCAACTATAACAGTTTCTAATACAACGCATAATTTATGATTTAATTTATATTTAAAGTAATCACATTACATAATTCAGCCTGTATTGGAATACATATATCTGCAGATATATTGTAAAAATATTATTTATCTAAAATATATCTAAATTAATATATTCCAAATGTAATATATGAAATTTTTTTTTCAGGATTCACTTTTATTTCTGTGATCATGATTTTAAACATGTTGATCGCTTGCATGTCTAATACGATGACCAAAGTCACAGAAAATGTACTTGTAGAATGGACATTTGGTCGAACTGAGGTTCGAATCATCAAAAATAATTATTTTATAATAAAAAAACAGACAAAATAAATATGTCTTATATCTTAATAATAAATATATAATAAAAATATATATAAAGATATATATAAATATAATAAAGACTTCAGAATTTAAATATGTGATTTTCAGACTTATGTCGACTTTATGCTAACAACTACTCTTCCGCCACCATTCAATATTATTCCAACGTACGTTGGTATTCAGCCAGTGATCGAGTATGTGAAATTATTGTTGAAACCACCACCAGATAAACGAGCACGATGGGACATGAAACATTGTTGTTATATTGTTAGTGTTATTCTTAAAAATTACTATAAAACATTCATATAATTTTTAAAAATTCTTATATGTAGTGAATTTCAATATTTTTTTCTTAATACAATATAAATTGGATATTTAACAATACATTTGAAAATAAGTAAATTATAATTATAATATGATTTTATTTAATTTTTTATAGTATAAGAAAATACTATGTTAATAATATTGTAAATACAATATAATCATAAACATAATAAAAATAATACATAATACATAAACATAATAATAATAATAGTAATTGTTGAAAAAGATACAGAAAAAGAATTATATATATCAAAGCAAAATATATTAGAATGAAAGATAATCAATTATACAAAGAAATTTTTTGAATTTAAAGAAAATTTATAAAATTTATATAATTTATAATAGCAAAAAGAAATAATCTTTTTAGAAATAGAAAGATATTAAATACAAACTTATAAATTTTATATTAAAAAAACAAATTTATAAATTAATTATAAAATTATATTTAAAAATTAACAATTTATATATCTATAATTATAAACGAGAATATAATATATATATTCTATAGGATTAATATATTCATAATATATTCATATTTTTAAAAAATCTAGAAAATAATCACAAAATTAGATAAATACAAAAATATTGATTTGATAAATTGATAAATTAATTGATAAATTATGAATAATTGAAAATTATCAGATGAAGAAAGATACAAAGTGAATTCTATCTTTATCTTAATAAATTTTATTATAATATAATATCTTTAATAAATTTATATTGCTTATAATTTAATAAATAAGTCTCAATCAACATTTTTGTATATTATATTTAATTTCTAAAATCGAATTTTTAAAAGTATTCCATAAATATATTATTATTTTATATACATATAGAAATATAATTATATATATCTAGTTATTTTCATGATAACATTTTAATTATAATTAAATAAATGAAATTTCAGTCTAATTATTTCATTAAAAAATTATTCATATTATCATATTAATTTTTATTCCGAGTAAATTAAATTTTCACAATATTGTTTTTTCGTGCAATTTCCATAAGAAAATTATTTTTTTTTTTTCTATACAATATTCCCCGAGATTTTCGAATAAAAACAATAAATGAAGCTTTGAATAAATAGAATAAAAAAAAAGTTGAATAATCTTTTTATTTCACTACATATTATAAAAATCGATAAAAAGAAATCAATTTTAAAATACATCATCTTTTTGATAGGAAACTATAACGGAGGATAAAAACGTTAAATTTTCCTTAGTGATGGCGCAGCTAGTGCAACGTTACTTCCGACAAAAAGAGAAAGAGATGGAGGAGAATGAAATAGATAAGCTCACGAAAGAAATCGTCGAATTGAGAAATCTTTTGAGGGATGCTCTCACTACTATATGAAAAAATCAAGCGACGCGAAATTAATTACAAAGAGTTTCTTCTTCGAAAATCTCACGATTACTTTAGCGCTAAATAAACACAGTGGCGCCAGTCTTTTTTTCGTTTTTACGTGATGCGTAGAAAATGGATATGCATAATGATGGGATTTAAAATGCTTCATATCGTTTCAAATAGATATTGTACATCAAAGAATAAATTCAAATCATTTAATTCTTAAGTCTAAAAATTTTTTTTCTTTTTGAGAAAGTCTCGAAAATTTTGAAAGTCTTGATTTTTTTAGAAGTATAGAAAATTTATTTGATTTGAAATTTTTGAAATTTATTCTGTTTCATTTGTCTATAATTTTTTTTTCTTATTTTTTCAGAATTGAAATAGCAATCTAATTTTCGAAAGAAAAATAAAAAATAAATGAGACAAAATAACTTTTTATTTATTAATAAAATTTATTATTAATAAAATTTTAAATAATATTATTAATAAGACTTCCAAGATTTTTTAAGAATTTATAAATTTCAATGTTCGAAATAATTCAAATTTTTCGTAATTTTATAGCTTCATGATAAATTCAATTTGGACTCTAAATTCAATCCTTAAATTTGAAATATTTCAAATAGTTTCGAACGGATTTTCTGTATCAAGATAAATTCGAATTAATTTGAATATTGAAAATCTTGTAAATCTTAATCATCTTGGAGATTTTAATAAATTTGAAACTCTTAAGAATTATTTTATCTCATTTTCTTGCATTTATTTTATTATTCTTTATTTGTATCTAAAAATTAGCCAATGTTAATTTTAAATTAAAGATAAGAATAGAAAAATAAGTTAGAATAAAAAATTTAATTTAAATTAAAAAAAATTAAAAAATTAATTTAAATTTTTAAAAATT